GAAAGAATAATAATTTAATATCATTTTTTTGTTTATGGTAGGTGTTGTGAGTTTGTCACGAAATCTGGAATGGCCTCGCAGGTTGCAGATGCCAAGTTTGAATTTTGGTGGTGCTGGTGTGCTGGGGTATATCCTGGCTCTGATTTTTAAGGTGAACACAAATGTCCGAACATGTTCCCTAAATACGTAGTGGAATTTTAACAGATTGAGGCCCATTGTAGACATGATCTGGTAGGAACTACATAGCTGAATCAGATAAATGCTGTGTTTTATTGCACCAGGATTCATTGCTGTCCAGCATGGCCATCCTTGTTGTCTGTTGATGTGACAGAACTGAGGACATGGCAGTGGATCATAACTCGTCAGCTCAATATAATGCAACTTCTGAAGCAGCATTTACCTCATTTTTGTGCTGTAAATCCTCAAAGTTTGGATTGTGTTTGTGCAGTACATATAATACAGGGTGTACACCACCCCCACTCTCCATGTATCACAGTTGGAGTTGGTAGGGAGGTAACTATTTATAGGATTGTGCCTTACCCTCTCCAAAATCTTCCCGTTTACTCCAAGTGTCGCTGTAATTGTTGTACCGAGTGTGTTTATTTGGTAATAGACAGAGACCTTCAAAGAACTGGCTCTTACAAAATCGTACTGTTTGTTTTTTTTCTGAATTCACCAAATTAAAATAAGGCCTTTGGCTGTGATATTTTTATAGAGCTCATAGTGACGTAAATAGATTTATTGGTGTCTTCATCAGTGTCTGGAGTCAATACTAAAACCTGAAGGAGAAGTCGTCTATGAAATGCATGGGTTTCACAGTATGAGGAAAATGCACATGGCCTAAACCAACGTGAGGCTAAGATCTGCAGTTACAATACAGTCAATTTATTCTGTTTAATAAGAGGACTAATTCCTTCGTTTCACTCTTGGCATTAAAGGCAGACATTTTTGTAGTACTCTTCCCCAACTTGGTAATTAAAAGCAGCAATAATAGGAACCCATTCCTCGTTACTGCCTGAAGTGTCTAATAAATGCGACCTAAGACACACTCTTGGAGATTGTAAAGGCTTTTTATGCCATTTTGAGGGTTTCCCTTTAGGCAGTCCTAAAAGTTTGAACTGGGCACGACATACTTGTTGATTGTGTTTGGTGTAATTGCACTGCTTCCCCTCTTTACCTTCAGAATGATGCAACAGTTCTTGCAGGACTGGACTGTCACTGCTGAAATAGGTTTGAGAAAATGCTTATGTGCTGAGAGCAGCTTTTGTCAATATACTCATGACTGTAATGTTTTCACTCTCATATAATACTGCATATTTTTTGTTAGGAAATTTCAATATCTGTTTTATAATATCTGCACTAGGGTCAAGGTTACAGCACAGTAATATATTTCTAGGATCTTGTCAGAAGTCCAAAATACAAAAAGGACTTGCAAAGAAATAATGTTACTGTTTTTTTCCCCTAAAAAAACCAATTTCTCTCTTTACCCAGCTTATCTACTTTGATTGGGTTTTGCCATTGTGCAGATCCTTGTATTTTTTCTAAAGAATGAATATTTTAGGGAAATACTGGGTATTTTTCGCACTGTTAAGCCAGTGCTATATACTGATGCCATGGTTACAGTGGAAACACTAATGATAAACAAGTACAAAGCTTGAAATCATGATAGCTTCTATTGTATTAGGACAAGTCAGATACATATGCAAAATCCTGATTCTTTCTCTCTACAGAGCATTCAGCAGTTGCAAAAATTATATTTAATATATATTAAATAAAATAAATCAAAGCTGTGCCTAAATCAGTGGTTCACATTTTACTGGGTGGATATGTATTAAACAAAGATACTATTATTTTTTTCTACAGATCAATATAAAATATTTGTTTGAATTTCTAAAAAGGGTATAGTGACCATTAAAAAGATGGCTGCTTTTCCAGTGGTGCATCAGTATAGACATAGCAGAGTAAAACTGTCAGTTTTGCAGATTTTTTTTAGTCATGGCTACACTGCAGTTTTAAAAAGAGATTTGGATTTATGACATTACAGGCTGTAAGTGTTATACAGAAAGAAAGAGATTATTCCAGAGAATGTGGGTGAATTTACACTGTGAAAAATCTGAAATACAGAACAATAAACAACCTGCAAATTCTGACTGAAAAAGAAACTAAATGTGAAAGCTATGCCTATATTTTTTTGAGTTAGGTAATTAATGTAATAATAAAGTATGTCTTTATCTAGCTTCCTTAAATGTGGCATATGTAAACATTGTACTTATGTTGGTAGTGCAGCTCCATTTAAATCAGTAGAATTGAGATCAGGAAGCAAAATTCTGTTGATATTTAGCCTTGTGATTACACTCCTGTGAATTAGCATGATCAATGTTTATGTGTTTGGTAGTATGGGTTCTGAGTTCAAGTCCATTTTCCAGAGTTGATGATATATGAAATCAGTGCAATTGGACCTGTGTCAAAGACTCCATCTAAGGGTCTTAGCCATTAGCCCAGCTATGCACAAAAACCCCCTATTGAGTTGTCCTGAGAAATCCTTTTGTGGGCTGAGCAGAACTCATATAATCAGTGAGGACATCGCAGCATTTAGCAAGAGAAGCATCTATTTCTACTGGAAATATTTTACAGCTGTATTTAGGTTAATGAAACATGTTTAATTTTCTGCAGTCTTAAAAAAAACCAAAAAACCCAACACAAAACTGTAACACTGTCAGGAAAAAAATAAAACAGATTTCAGTGAACTTTTCTTTGCTGGTCCTAAACATCCTCCATAGTACTTTTTTTTCTCTTTAGTGCTGCTTCTTAAGATATACATTTAAAACATTATACTTTTTTAAAAGCATCCTTTAATATTTCAGTTTTATCAATGTGAAGTTGTTCAATCCACTGTGCTACTACTGAATAAAACAAGTTTATTATGAATTAATACAATATGTCAATAGAAAGTTGATGAGGTACAGGAAAAAAGCTTGTGGAAGAGGTACACAGTTTTACAGACTCATTGAGTTTCTGACTTACATATTTTACATCATGCTGACAGTGCACTGCTGAAGACATTTTCCTATTGGAAAGACTGTTTTTACGTTGCAGTCCATACGGTTAGACACGTAGGTTAGTGGAGCTCTGAATGTCATGGTGCCCACCTTTCCTAAGAGAAATAATAGTAACAATGTCATACATTTGAAAAGCTGAAAGCACTTTAGGGAAAGCTCAATGTTTTTTCTTCTGTTGGAGGAATTGAGGAGAAGGTGCCTACAGTCACCCAGAAAGGCAACAGCAGAGGAGGGATTGGTACTCTTCTGTGTCATTGGTCCAGTGGGCTCTCCATGGATGCAAGAAGCAGAACTGTCTCCTTCCATTTCACCTAATCTGAATTAACTGGAAAGATAGCTTTGGTTCTTATCAGACTTTTTCTGGGGTTTTCTGTTGTGGTTGTTGTTATTGTTATTATTGTTTTATTTTTATTATTATTGGTTTGTTGTTGGGTTTTTTTTCTTAATAACCTTCTGCCGTTTGTGTTGCTGAAATGGGAACTGCTTTTAGTCAGCAGGTGATCTCTTGTAGCAGACAGAGAGTGGAATTGTAATGATTTTATTGCAGG